GATGCTGTCCATATACGCAAAGTGGAAGGGAGCCGGCTATCTCAAGGCAACGCTGCAAAAGGTGGTTGAGAGGCTGATGCTGGCTTCCAAGGATCTTAACCTCGAGCTGGACCCGACGCGGATTAATACGCCCGAGGAGCTACAGAAGAACGCGCTGCAGCTGCAGATTGTGGCCAAGGTCTTTATTGATGACATTTGCACTTCCTCGGCGAGCATACCGGCGTCGTTTAGAAAGATTTGCAGCATCATCTCGGCGGCGGTCATGCCGAGGTTTCAAGAGGCAAAGTACACGGCCGTCGGCGCGTTCATCTTTTTGCGATTTTTCTGTCCGGCAATTGTTGCCCCTGAGGTTGAGGAGCTGGTGGCCGCGGCGCCGTCGAAGGAGATGCGGCGCGGGCTGTTGCTCATTGCCAAGGTCATTCAGAACTTGGCGAATAATGTGCTGTTTGGCGCGAAGGAGCCGTACATGTTTCCGTTGAACGACTTTCTTACGCAGAATATCTATAGGGTTACTACTTTCCTGAGGGAAATATCGGTATGCTTATCCTTTGCAGGTGGTTCTAAGGCCTTTAACTAACATGACTGTAGGTCGCTCCAGAAGACCACGAAATCGCGGGTGGCGGTGGCGAGTCATTTGACTTTGGCTCCTGTGTCGCTCTGCATAGGTTTCTATATGATCATTGGGATCATGTTCGCCAACGTCTGGTTTCCCAGGAAAGGAAAGACTTTGTCAGGTCGCCTGGTGAGTCGATCAGGGGTAGATCTCCTGTCCTAGAGCCCCTGAGAAACCTCATCATGAATCTGGGACCGCCGCCGTTGGCTGTGACTTGGAATAGGCCGCTCATCTCGGCCAACACACCTCCGGCTTATTCCAGGTTCCAAAACTTCATGCTCAGGAATGCATTCCGTAGCACCGAGTCTTTCCTGACGGCCCGTGCTGTTTACGATGGTGGCGAGAGTAAAGACGGTCTGTCCATCATCTGTATCATTTTGCGCAACATCGACACGGAGTCTGTAGACTGCGACACGCTCCTGTATTGCTATCTAAAGATAGCCAGTCGGCTCTGGCATCGCCCTTTTGGACTCCTCATCGATGCCACTTGCTATACAGGTCAGAACGAACCCCAGGACGACTTGTTCCATAAGTTGGAGCGTCTCACACCGAGCGAGCTTACACGGCAGCTTACGCGCGTATATGTCTACAACATGAACACGGCCTGTAAGAAATGCTTCCGGCGCATTCTTAAGCTGTCGTCAAAGAGCGAAAACAGCACATTCAATCCCAGGAACGTGGAGTATCATCTCATTGGGAGCTTACAGGACCTGCAGGTGCATTTCCATCTGAGCCAGTTGCATCTCCCCAAGGAGACGATCAGTGTCGTGACCGATACGCGCTACGTCTTTCAGCCCATCACGCGGTTGTCCAAGTCCAAAGGCAAGATCGAGGTGGTCATTAAGGTTGGCAGCCAGTTCGTGCAGGTGACGACAACCAAGAAACAGGAGGTGCATCCGGGCTTCAGGCTCGGCACGACAGTCAATGATATCTTTAGACTGGGCGAGGTCGACGAGGCGCCCACGACAATCCAGACTGAAGATGACTCGGCGTTTGGGCTCCGCGCAGATAATGGCAAGCTCGTCATGTACTTTACCAGCCCTAAGAAGGCGGATGTACTGCAGGCGATTCGCGCAGCCCGGGCAAAGTATGTCAAGGATACGAGGGCCATGAAGACGTTTGAGAGGTTTATCAGGCCGCAGGATGTGCCGGGGACGTTGTTGAATTTGGCGCTGACGAATCTGGCGAGCCCGGATCCGATCTTGAGGTTGAGTTCGTATAATCTGCTGGGGGCGCTGTGCAAGGCCTTCAAGTTCTCGGCGGCGTCGAGGCTGATGAGCACCAAGGATATTTCGATTCCCTTGGAGCCGTCACAATTCATCATCAAGATCAGCCAGCAGCTAGCAAAGACGGAGCCGCAGCTTACTTCGGATTTCTTGAACGAGTTCTTTGTCGGGTGGGACAGCTTTTCGGACAAGCAGAAACCGTTAAGTTTGGCATATATGGCTCCTTGGCTTCCTGGCCTGCGCACTTCTCTGCTGGCTGGTGAGGCGGAGAGCGACAAGGGGAGGGAGAAGATTGCGGCTTTGTTCAGGAAGCTCATTGACGTTGCCCTGTCAGACCCGACACTGAACTTTACGCTGGGGCAGTCAGTGTGGCCTGTCATACATCACGATGAATTGCTCCTGGATATCTTTTTAGAAGAGATCATCAAGACGGCACTCAGCATTGGGTTCAATGACGACCAGACCGAGACGCTGACGTCGATTGCCAGCGCCATTGGTACGATGACATTACGAGGAAAGGTCATATCACGCATGCGCAAGGCGCTGAATCGGTCGTCGTTGCGTCCTACCAAGTACCTACCTGACAACTCGGTATGGAACGAGCTTTGCGTGCTCCTTCAGTTCTCTCTTGCTCTGTCGTTTGACAGCGGTGTGCAGGCCCAGCTTTATTTGCCTGAAATATTCCATATCGTCACGATGCTCGCCAACACGGGCACTCCGGACGTGCGGGTGATTGTTCATCGGCTGCTGATCAACTCGATTCACTCGGCGTGCACTTCGTTTAATCTGGATGAGGCACGCCTGAGCAAGCTGAGGACGACGCTGGAGACGCTCTCGGACCCGAGGAGCGACATATTCTTGAACCCGGTAGGGCATACGAGGGACGGCGCGTCGGTATCGACAAACCAGGAGGCGGGGCCTACGTTGGCGGCAACGGAGAACCTGGCGGCTTTGCTGTTCGAGACGTGCTCTGTTGCTGCTCCGTCGGTCGATGTGGCTAATGCTTGGCGCTCACGATGGATGAGCCTTGTCGCTAGCACGGCGTTTCAGAATAATCCTGCGATACAGCCGAGGGCCTTTACTGTTATGGGATGTCTTGCCCGTGAGGAGGTGGATGATGATTTGCTGTACCAGGTGCTGGTGGCGTTGAGGAACAGCGTTGGTCGTTTTGGCGATGATAGCAACAGCGATATGCTTGTTGCTATTGTGACGTCGCTGTCCAAGATGATGGCCAAGCTCTCGTCGGCGTCGCGCTACGGATTGCAGCTGTTTTGGTTGGCTATGTCGCTGCTGCGACTGGTGCCGCCGAACCTGTTCAACTGCACGGCCATGTTCCTCGAGTCGGTCCTAACAAATATCAGCACGTCGGGCGAGATGCGTGGAGAGAAGATGGTGCCGTATCTATTGCAGGGCCGGGTCCAGCTCGACGACGCTGCCCTGCCGTTGGATGATGCATATGGGATTCACTTCAACCCGGAGAACTTCCACTTTGCCGCTTGCGCGTGTCTGGTGCGCGGGCTGACGGATACGATCACCAAGGCGACGGCGTTGCGCGTGCTGTCGACGTTTCTAGAGATGACAACAGCGTCGGCGTCGGACGGTGCCAGCGCTACAGCAGACAGGACGATTCGGGACCTGGCGGCGTCGCCGTACATGGCGCTGATCCTGGCGAGGACGGTCAGCATCGACGAGCTGAGAGATAGCCTGTGGCTGGCGGGCATCAACCCGAGCGAGCTGTCAAACATGGGCAGCCTGCGGGCAGCCGAGGACCTGAAGCAGCTCAAGGACAAGGACCTGCTGCTGAACACGGCCATCGAGCTGGTGGACTTCCAGTACCTCGAGGACGCGGTGCAGAACCGGACGCTGCAGTGGCTGAATGAGATTGCGCGGGGCAGGCCGGCGGTGGTGCTGCACCTGTGCGGGCCGATTATATCTATACTGGACGATATCGTGCTGCACTGTCAGAACTCGGCGACGCTCGAGTCGGCGCATGCCTTGCTGCAGACGCTGACGGGTAATGCCAAGTTTGGAAGCGCGATGGAGGCGACGGGGATGCTGAACGAGACGCTGGATGATATGAGTTTTGGGGGACTGTGGAGGAGTTGCTCGTTTAACCTGTCGCAGGAGCAGGATAAGCAGTGTTTTGGGTTGACGGAGAAGTTGATTGAGGTGAGTTTTGGGTTTTACTTCTTTGTTGACTTACCCCCTTGTAACCCGCGTTATGCATGATTGTCTTTGAGAATGTTGGCTGACTTTTAACACAGCTTATCATTATTTGACTTGTTGTGTCACAACATTGCAGTTGCGCAATCGCCCATCTACACCAGAGATACATCATACGCGGATGCACTATTCTACTCGGCACCTGCACTGTTCGAAATACTGTGGGCGGTTCAAAACTTTCGCCTGGATAGTGGTTGAACTACGCTCACGTCCTATTGAAGAAGGACCAGCCCCAGCATATTGCACACATGTACATGCATACATCGATGTGGTTTAAGGACATGCGAGCTACAACACAGGAGTTACAGCATACACAGGGCAGTGCACGATGTGCACTGCGGGTAGGTCAGGAGATGAGTGACTGGCTGGAAAAAAAGGGGAGAGGGAAATTGAATGCTCAATTGCAATTGCACACGTGCATACCTAGGAGTAGGTAATGGGATGAAATGGAATGCTATCCTTGGGGATGTATATAGTGGGCAAATGAAGGAATGGAGGGGGGGGGGGGTTGTGGTGTCAAGGGGGGGCAGTTAGCTAATGAGTCGTCCGTCGGTTGAAGCCACTGGAGGTAAATGTAGGTGTGTGTCGACATTCTGTCAATCAGTCGGGTCGGTCAGTCGGGTCGGTCAGTCGGCAGCATATTGGGCCATCTGGGCAGGGCTTAGATTGAGATGATACAGGAAGAGAGGAAAAGATAAGATAGAAAAGAATAAATAAAATGGGAAAAGACTCTTAAAAGCTATGTGATTAGTGCTTATTTTATTTAATATAGTAAGTCTTGCTTAATGTCTATCTGTTCCCGTGCCGGTCTGTTAATTTCGCACATCTTTCAACCCACCTATCTTTATAAAGTACTCTTGAGCATCAAAAGAATAATAACTTGATTCTGTATGAGAAATACAGAAATAGAAACAAAAAGAAAGCCTCGCACTTGTGATCTCTCCCGCCGGGAATTGAACCCGGCGTCCCGAGCGATGCCGAACTTGACAGGTGACAAGCTCATATACTGACCACTATACTACGGAAGAAGTGTGGATGTGAACATCCACCGTAGAAGGTGCTTGGCGGCTGATGAAAATTGTGAGGGGAAATAGTGGTTATATCTAGGGTTTGTGATGAAAAGCTGAAGTATGTGTGGATGTGTGGGTATTGTGGAGTTGGAGACAGGGAAGGGGGTGTTTGTTACTTGCTTTACTTGCCCCGTCCTAGCCTTGACCATGTGTCAATAGAGACTGAAGTCAGATATACCCCCATGGTTCATTGTTGTGGTTTCTGTGCTTCAGAGTTCTGAGGTATGGCCAAAGGGAGCAAGACCCATATGCGCCAGTGTCGTCCCAACACGGTTCAGACTCGAGCTTAAGTCATCCCAGCATATCTATCGAATGGGGAAGCAGTCGAATTCAACTTCAAAAGAATCTCCACGATACTACTACCATTATGCACATGCCTAAACTATCTACCTACCTTAGGTACTTCATGACCAGGGTTGCTTGTGCCACACATATTGCTCGCTCACCGCCTTGTCTCGGTCTATTCGTTTCATCTGACATGCGGTCAGGGCGCGTAAAAAAAGTTGTCTCTTCTCGTCTCATCTCTCTCTCTTGAATAAGAATCGATCTAAGGATTTGATGATGAGATTTTAAGGGGTGAGTAAGTCTGTCTGTAGCGTGACAACAACCACACGACACAGACGGTCAGGCGGCGGTGGACATGTGTAAGTGTTATTGCCTCTTTACCACACTGGTAGTATGTCTGAGAGGAACAAAGTTCTAAACAACCAGCTCGCCGTCAGACGACTTGATGCATTTTTACCGATACAGATTCCAGGCAGGTATTAACCACGACGGCGCATAAGTGCCTTACAGCATGGAGGCGTCAAAAGCAAAAGAGACGTAAACAAATGACTACAAGGATTGCGATGTCAAGGGGCTGAAGTGAGGCGGTCAGGTCAAAGTTGAAGGAAAAAGAAGAAATACGATTACGGTCTGACTAAGATGGCTAAATCCTGAACCATTGATCCAATAGATCTATCTATACGGGTCGGCAGGCGCCACACGACTACTTGCGTTACCTACCTTACGCACATCATGTACTGTACTTATGTAGCTTACAACTTACTCACCCTACTCCAGGCAATGACGTATCAAAACAATACCTTTTGCATATGCCTAGGGTTGGTAACGTATCTATCATCGATACACATATGCAATGCATAGTGCTGTGTAACGGCGGGCAGCCATGTGGTTTTGGGGCTTTCTTACTTACATAGACCAATACTAAGCCCCGATTGGGGTTTCGTTTCCAGCCTGTTGGAACGGCTGAGAAACGGTTATCTGCAGTGGTCTACCTGGGAGGCTAGGTGGATTATGTTTTGGGGGTTGTGAGTCAGCCGCTCTCGAAACGTGAACAATATCCCGCTGTCTTATGTGGGAATTCGGAATCACCTGAATTGAAACTTGTTACTGGTCCTACGGAAACCAATTGTCAAAAGAGCCCCTGTCAGGTCGATACGGATACCACTTTGAGAAATCACGCGGATGACAGTTGTAGTAATCCAGCCAAGTGTCAGCAATCTCCCTTTCAACCTCGCCCGTCACATCGCTCTACACGTCGCCATCGGTCCTATCCGTCGTCTCGTCCTCGTGTCTCGCCAGCGTGGTAGTGCCGAGGCGGTGTCCTGCCCATACCCCCCATAAGTATTCATCTTATAACGGGGGCACCGGAAGAAATGGGGCTTGTTCAGCAGATACGTGACAGAGCGACTTCGCCAAAGCCCAGATACTCCATTTCGGGGCCGTGGACGTATTCTGGTTTCAAATCAAAAGCCTCGGCGCGGACAAACTCTCTTGTCGTGAGATTTCGAAGGATCCATGGCTGATCTTGGGGGTAGAATCTCGACGCGGAAACAAGTATCTCTGGGCATATTTTCCAAAAATGCTGGATCCTTGCGTTTGCTCTAGCCCATGCAATGATTCCAGATGCGCAGCGACTCTGTCTCCAGATCGGCTTCTATGTCGCAATGGTCAGGGAGGTTGAGGTGATATAGCCTGTGCGGTTCATAAGACGATTCGTAGTTTCGAAAAGAAACCGATCCTCTTCTTCGGGCGAGAGTAAACCCGGAGGATAGTCGTCCACCTCGACACACCACCCAGCGCAGGCAATGCTCTCACCTGCCCACCGCCCCAGGAGCAAGAAGTAATATGTGAGGAGGCGCTTTCGAGCAAAGGCCCAGAAGTAACGGCTCGTAAGGCCGAGGCAAACAAGGTCCTCGATCAACTCGACCTGATCAAAGACAAGATGGTGAAGTTCCGGGGGCAGGTGGCAAAACGTAGCAACATGACTACAAGTATCATGTTGATTCTTGGCCCGCTTGTTTCGTGGAGAGCTGGCAAGCAGTTTGTCATCATGTTTGCGCTTCGCTTGACCGCCATCTCGGGTCTCGTGGTGCGAGTCACTTGGGGGCTGTGCCTGTGCCTGTGCCGATACTGGTACTGGTACTGGTACTGGTACTGGTACTGGTACAGGTACAGGTCCTGATGTTGATATCAAACTAGATGTCGGATCCTGCGGCATGACGGGCACGGCAAGAGACCTGCAGATTTGTTCTTGAGAAGAGGGAGAGAAACTACGTTTGTGCAACCGTAAACAAAAGCAGTAGCTGGCATCTGCCTACCTACCTGCCCCCGTCATACCGTCCATGTGCAGGTCAGCAAGATACTTTTGCCAGTTGTTGTGATCGCGATGTCTAATTTTCATGACCGTCGTGAGATCCGCGCCCGCCAAACGCCAGACGCCAGCCGAACAGCCGCCCAGCTGTGCCGCTTGACGACCGCGATGCCACGCGACCAATGATGCTGTGCAATGAAAATGCCATGAGGTGCGGCGTTGCTTGTGCTTGCGCCCCTTTCTTTCCGTTCCCTTGGCTTGCCTCGCCGCGTCCATCCATCGCTCGGCCCGTTCGCTACCTCAATACCTACCCTCAACACGTATACCAGTCATGTCATCCCGTGTGTCAATGGGATTCACAACAGGACGGGATGGTCAGGTAGGTGCATCATCCGGGCGAGGGTTTCACAGCGCGAATTAAAACCCCAAAAAGTACCTTGCCTCTTCTTGCCTGGGCGGGATTTTAAAATTTGCAGCACTACTAAGGTAGGTATGCAGTGGAAGAACTTTGTTGTCTCACAGATGGTCGGTGACCTGATTGATTTACCGTGAGGGTCGGCGGTTGTTTTCGCGGTCGCCGTGTCGTCGCAGATGCGGGCTGCTGCTCAAGGGGAAGGATGAATAGAAGGATGAATAGAAGGATGAAACTTCCATGAAGTTGGTGATTGACAGGCGCGCCTACGCCCTTCGCTTCGCTTCGAACAGGGCATGCTAGGTGATCAGTAACAAGTGCGAGGTATCAATGGATATGTTTTCGCACATCACTGTTAGGGTTCACTAATAGCAGGAACTTGACGGGTCACGGCCCAACTAACCCCGCGCGCTTCACAGCGTTGTTAGCTGCGACGGGCGGGCAGACGACCGACCGACCGACCTGACTGGGAGGCTCGGGCTCGGATGCGCCGATACTCGTGTACATGGTATGCGAACATGTTATTTGTTGGTAATAGTGCTGCAGCCTGCAGGCTTGTACTACTAAACTTTTCTAGTTTTTCTGTGCATTTTTCTTCTTCTCTTGCATGGACTAGTGCAAGTAAGGCAAGCTCGAGGCATGGATGGGCTGTAAGGCTGGGTTGCACAGCATGCGGGACATAGGTACAAATTAACTTCCATTATTACAGAACTTGCGCTATAATGTGTAAGTGCTATGATTGCAAGAAAACGCGCAGAAGCATCAGGTACTGTTGAAGAAAATACAAATCACTATCCATAATATGGCCTGCTTGTTTCTTTTCGGACAGACGGAGCTTTTCACACAAGATATTGACCATGCATGATAGATGCATGCATCATGTCCGTCCAAGAGAGCTCACCTGACCAACCTCACCTGAGCTGCTGAGCTGCAAGTCCAGGCGGCATAAGTGTCTGTAGCTTTCAAGTCCTCTTGGTGCTTGGGTCGAGGCATGTCTATGGCCTGTGCACTGCAACGTCTCACAAGAACTACACAGTAGAAAACTTTGAAAGTCTGGGGCTTGGAGCTTGGAAGCTGTCTTGGTATGGGGCTGGGGCGATGAAGAGACCGGCTTCCCATGTTGATCGAAGGTTCACGTATTGCATCGCGATTCGCGACATGGAAATGCACAAGTGCGCAGAGTGCTTCAACTATGGACATTCGTAGCTTCCCCAAAAAATCCATATCAGCGGCTTTTTGGCGTGATTCTAGATCCATTGCGGCCTGTCGGGGCCTGCCGAGACCGGTCGAGGCCGCGGGTGCGTGCTGTAATGTACCCCAGCGTCTTGATCCAGTCCAAGCCTCAAAAACGGGTTGGGGTAAAAGAAATTCCCCAGAGTGGTAAAGGAGACCCTGGCTTCCAGCGACCGCTCCCTGGGACCACCAGGAAACCGCCGGCTGGCGGCGGGCGGCAGCTACCACACACCTACGCTCGAGCCACCCGCATGCCACAGCTTCTTTAAAGTTTTTTTTAGGTAGGTAACGAGGACAAAAAAGTTGCCAGGAGGGTTGCATCCATCATGTCCTGCATTAGCGCGATCAAGATCCAAAGAGACAGAAAAAAAAGCAACGAGAGAAATGGAAGTTGGGGGGCTGTCCCGGCATACAGCCATGGGAAATAGCGCCCTCGTTCTCGCAAACCCTGGAAAAAAACTTTTCCTGCATTTGAAAAGGCCGCGGAGAAATACGTTTGTGTAACTCAACTGCCACCACCAACCAATTCCCGTCACCATGGACCTACGCCATATGCATCGATCGTCCTTTCCTTTCTTTTCCCACATAAATCAGACTCGAAACAAACCACCGAAAAAAGAGCGAAAGTGCGAAGCCGTACCTACCCGAGGAGACTCCCTTCGCGATTATAATCAACTCCGAGACTGTCCGAGATCTCCCATTTTTCCTGTCACTTCT